ATTATGGTGTTTTAATAAAAGAGAAAAGTAGATGTTAAAATGTGAACGGGAATTGTTTCTTTGGGTCATCAGATCCATCTCGTTGTTGTTCTTCTTATCCACAACATTGCATCTATTCTTTGTGATTGACTTACTATGTAAATCCCATTTTTGTACACATTTGCGTTCATGAGTGACTCTCACTCTTCTACTCTTTCGTTTCAACTTATCAATATGTTTCTTTTGATCCATCTATTTAAGTGTTTGACTTAAACTTGAATGATTTGCTTTTTTTTTTTTGCAGAGGTTTTTTGAGATATAAGAGTTTAGAGATGAATTTCACAGAATCCATGAGCGTTGTGCATAGCAGAATCCAGCAACTTGAACCAGAAAATGCATCGAAAATCATCGGTTATCTCTTGTTAATGCAAGACCATAGCGACCGCGACATGATTCGTCTCGCATTCTGTCCAGATTCTGTGATGCATTCAGTCATCAACTGCGTTAAATACGAATTAGCTAAAAATACTCGTTACCAAACCCCTCCTTCCGATCACCTTACCCGTACTTTTGGCTCATTCACAGGTTCATCTCTCCCAGTTTCTGTTTCTCCTCCTCCAGTTCTCTCCATGAGAACAGGTTTTTGGGACAACTCTAACGAGATGGACTCGTTGCAAAACAGTGTTCAGTTCTTGAATTTGGAGGATTCTATGGCCAGCCCTGAATTTTCTACCGGTTTCTTGCCTCATGAGCATCAAGGTTTGCCTTTGAGAACAAGCAGGAGATCCCCGAGTTTACCCGAGTTTCCTGTCAAAGTCTGCCATTACTTCAGCAAAGGGTTCTGCAAACACGGAAACAGCTGCAGATACTTCCACGGGCAGATTATACCAGAGAGAGAGAGTTTTGCTCAAATGTTTAATCCAAACAACAACCTAAGTGACGAAGAGCATGTTGTTTCCCACGGGTCACTTGAGAAGCTCGAAGGAGAGATCATCGAGTTGCTCAAATCGAGAAGAGGCGCTCCAATTTCCATAGCTTCATTACCAATGATGTACTACGAGAAATACGGTAGGACGCTTCAAGCGGAAGGATATCTCACAGAGTCACAAAGACACGGCAAAGCTGGCTATAGCCTCACCAAGCTTCTCGCTCGCTTGAAGAATACCATCCGCCTCATTGACAGGTTAGTTAACAACATTTAACAAATAAATGTACCTTGTTTCAATCCCATTTTCTTACTGGATGGTCTTTAAGTTGCAGGCCTCATGGGCAGCATTCGGTTATTTTAGCTGAAGATATATCAAAGTTTGTGGAATACATGGGAGAGAGAAACGAACACGGAGCGATCCTTGCTAGTTCTAGACAGATTTATCTTACATTTCCGGCAGAGAGTAGTTTTACCGAACATGATGTCTCAAACTACTTCTCCAAATTCGGACTTGTGGAAGATGTGAGGATTCCTTGTCAGCAGAAGACAATGTTTGGATTTGTAACATTTGTTTACATAGAAACGGTCAAACTCATTCTTGCTAAAGGCAATCCTCATTTCATATGTGGGGCTCGAGTACTCGTCAAGCCTTACCGGGAAAAATCACGCTCTAGTCGATACCTTGACAATAACAAGCCTCTGCATGGCATGCGATATGGCTCTCAATACTTTGACAGAGACTCAGAGATGAGCACATGTTAGTAATTTTTCAGAAATAAACTTATATATACTAATCTTGCCCTCACGTTTTTGTTTAACTGTTTTGTTTTGTGTTACTTTAAGTGCCACTGCGCATTAGCGAGAGCTCAAGACTAATGAAGAAGCAATTTCTTGAGGAACATGAGCAATCAGTTTCTAAGTCCTTACCGACTTATTATTCCTATAACGGCTTCTCTGATGACTCGAAGCTAATAACAGATGGTAATTTTGCTTCTAACTTATACCAGATGGTACGGAATGAGTTGTGTGACTTTATTAATCTCTAGCAGAGCAAGAGGAACAAGCGGGACGGTTGAGCTATCTATTGGACTATTTGAACACTGAAGATAATGTCATGAACATAACCACTAACTACAAAGACACCGATCGGTATGCAAATGAATGAGATCTTATGACAAACACATTTTGAGACTTTGTTTTTATCCATATATATAATTTGTCTTCTTATTCAGGAGAATCCACTGCGAACCTTTGGATAGTCAGGTCCTGAATCTACCTGAGAGTCCGTTTTCTTCCCTTTCCGGGAAGGAGATTTCGACAGTTACATAGTGTGAGATTGATACCTAACCAAAAGGGAGAAGAAGAAGAAGAATGGAGCATAAAGGTTAGAGGAAATCCCCAAAGATCTAATCAATCATCGATCAGCTAAAAGAGATTTGTTTTTTACATTATCTTCTTTCGGTTTAAGACTGATCGATGGCATGAAAACCTTAGATATTTTAGCAATAACACCGAAGAGAAAGAAAAATAAAAGGTTTTCCTCAAATAAACTCTCAAAGTGGTTAAGA